TTGTCGTTTTGTCCCCTTTCAGCACATCGCCTCCTCCTCCGTAGCTTTTCTTCATCCGCTACGCGCAGAACTGCGCAAGCACTAGGATCTCGTTAAAAGAAAATCATTTAATTGATTAGGAACCCCGGCCTGTAGGCAGTCGATGGAGTTTTACCATTTTAGGTGAAGCTTTCACATGTGTCCGGAGCGGACCGGCGAGCGTGGGCGACGCGAATACGACGGGACGCATTTAGCATATCTGGGCGGAGCGGCTTGCGCAACGCCGCCTATGATCAGCGTCAAAAGTGATAGTCTATCTTCATTGGGCCTGCCGGTCGACTGGCTCTTCAAACAGCCGACGCCAGCCGAGGACCGGACAAGGGAGCAGACGGCGGAGGACAGGAGCCTTGGGCCAACTTGCGCGCTTTGTTAGCCGATGCCATCTCTGTCGGTGACAGTTTCCAACCCATTGTGTACGAGCAGGGGGCGCGTCCGGTCCTTTGTTTTGTCGAAGAGCACGCGTGTTCCGTGAAGATTGGGTGGAGCTAAATGCATGTGGCCTACGCCGGCCGCGCCTCTCAGTGCCGGCTGTCCTATGGAGAGTGAGGGCAGATAATGCCTCCGGACCCGGAAACACACGCTGAGATAATGCACGCACTCTGGTGAAGAGGAGCGGCAGGAGAGAAATGTGTCAGAGGAGAGAGAGAGAGAGAGAGAGAGAGAGAGAGAGAGAGAGAGAGAGAGAGAGAGAGAGAGAGAGAGAGAGGAGAGAGAGAGAGAGAGAGTGAGAGAGAGAGAAAGAGAGAGAGAGAGTGAGGGAGAGAGAAAGAAAGAGGGACAAGAAAGTATATATATACATATACAAATATGTATATATATATATATATATATATATATATATATATATATGTATATATATACACATCTATAAATACAAAGACAAAGCGAGAGGGATGAGAGAGCACGAGCGACAAACAGAGATGGAGAGATACAAAGATAATGAAAACAAGAAAGAAGAAATAGGAAGATGAGTGCATGAGAATAGAAAAAGACCGAACCACAGCCAACAGCGCGGCCGCTCGATAGCCTGTACGGTCTCTGTTGCAGCTGAGGTATTGTGGCTGCGATAAACGCTTCATGACCGGCACAAACAATCGTTGCGCTTGGGCTTGTGCCATCATCTTGCCAACCAAGTTCCCAGGGTATCAAAAATCCTGTTCCCATCACTCTCACGTCTGCCCAATGTCTTGCTGGTGTCATTGTTTTCAGGTATCATGCAGGGGCTGTAAACCACGACACTGCTGACCATCGCAAATGCCCATTGAACTGGTTAGCGGGCGCGTATTTTGCATTTACTACAGCCAACAGCAGGACGCTTCCCAGACTGGAGCGTCTCCCAGACTGCAGAGCCAGACTGCGGGGCGCGCGGCTGGATGGACTTGTCCCGAGAGTTCTGATCACCTCGACGGCGGACCGAACCTCCGCTGGAGGGCAGCGGAACCAGCACCAGAATTGCGGGACTGAAGAGCCTGCCGACCAGGAGGCGCTCCGTCCAGCTCCCGTCCCGCTCCCGTCCCGCTTCCCGTCCCGCTCCCGCCAGCTCCCGTCCAGCTCCCGTCCCGCTTCGCGTACCGCCCTGCGCCAGCTCTGCCTGCCTAAGCTGGCGCGGAGCCTCATGGCGAAGCGCCTCTGGGCTCTCTGCTGCCCAGGCTTGAAACGGGTTGCCCGAACTCGAGCATGACTTCACACCCGGTTGGCAAGAGTTGAGCGTTATACTTAGACCATGCTCGCTTGGTGAGCCTGTCTCTGACTGAGCCCGATATCGACTGTCTGCTTCTCAGACTGCATTGCTCACCAACGCTCATGCCTATCGGCACGAAAGGCCGCCGTCGTAACGGCCGCATAGCGACACGAGTGGGGCCGCACGTGTGCCCGAGGAGCGAGCCCCTTTCTAGGATCCATCATGGTCTGGCTCGCTGCGGCGATACACCCTCTCCAGCCAGCCACTTCACCTTCCACCGCAGCACGCGTGCCCATTACGCCCCGCCGTCTTTTAAACGGGCCTGTAACCAAAGGGCCGTCACGCGGCGGCGGCACACCGGGCTTGATTGTTCCGCTCCGGGGAGCTGGGACCGTCGGTGCCGGCCGGAGTGCTCCGACGCCGCCGGCGCCGCCCCGCCCCGACGGCAGCCCGCTCACACTCAACTAAATTATGCCGCCGCTGGCTGCTCCTCTGCCGACGGAGGGGGAGGGGGGCTCCCGCCTGGTTGCATCACCACAGCAGCCACTGGCACGGCGTGGTGGGTGCCGCCCGGCCGCTCTGGCAGCGTCCGGGCCCGCTCGGCCGACGCGCGGCAGAGCTTCGGGCGGGATGGCGGGCGGCACGCACCGGGCGCGCCCCTCCAGGGCGGCAGCGCTCTCAGCACGGCCGCGGACAAGATGCCGGCTCCGATTACGGCAACGGCAGCGTATCTGGCGGCTCCCGCGGCTTGTTTACGAGCTGGGCGCGCCCCGTCGCCGGCAATCATCGGAAGGCGTCCGGCCGCCGACGGCATCCGGTGTTGTCCGACGCCCGCCGGAGCGCTCCGTCATGAGCTGACGAGTCGGTGATTACGCCCGGCCCCGCCCTGGTGAGAGATCGGCCCCCCGGCGCCACCGCCCGCCACGCCCGCCGCACGGACGCGGGCGCCGCTGTCGAAGCGTCATGCGGGACCTCAGGATGGAGGCAGCGGCAGGAGTCGAACGAGACCCCGGCGAGGTCACGGCTATCAGAGAGTCATGCGAGTTGCTCGAACGCTCACAGCTGCGAGACGCGTCGGACACGGCCCTCGCAGCGATCGCATCTGCCCCGTCCTTGTGACGCGGCCTTCGCGCAGGCCGTGGCTACCACTTGGCGGAATTTTTCTCGCGACAATCATGGCATCCGCCGTCCGCTGTGGTCCCTCGTGGGACCATCACGTGACTCGGAGCGGTCGGCAGTCGGCAGCGGCCGCCGCGCCGACTTTCCATCTCGCCGGCGTCCGCTCCCGCCGTATGATAATCTATAAAGTGCCCGTCGATTATCTCCGTGATAAATAGGAGAGCGTTCGGCGCCGGCGGTTGGGCAAGGCTCGACAGCCGCGCGCCGAGGCGGCCGGCCGCCGCCGCAGTGTTGCTATTCAGCGACGCTAATTGGTCGTCACGTGTGAACGCGCCGCCCCTGACCTCTCGCCGGCCAGCTGGGAAAGGCGCCCGCATGCTGCGGCCTGGAATGCAATGTCCGCACGGCTGGTGCTGACGCGCGGGGCGTGTCGCCGATCGGGGGTGGGAGAGTTCATCACTGAGGGGCTGGGGCTGGGGCCGTCCAGTGTCGTGCCCTGAACTCGTCGGAGTGTCACAGGTATAACCGTGGCACCGCGGACGCCGGTTATCTACTGCCCTTGGTCAACAAGGTAGGCTTCAGTCGGGCTGGACCCAATGCAATGGCGGCAACATCACTCAGCATGCCAACCGGGTCAGCACGAGGGAATGGCGTAATCCTCCGAATGGCAGGAGCGCTTGAGCCGAATGTCTGAACTCAAGGCCATGTAAGCTTCTGCTTATGTCTGTGGAGCACGTCGGGCTTTGATCTGCAGCATCCTGAACTGACACGTTTCTTGTCGTGGCTATTTGTATCACAGTTGCGAGCTTCATCGTCGCGTGGTTTTACAAGGGCATCGACTGGCCCTTGAACCCACCGTCGCCCAGGGCCAGGTGATATAAGGCGTTGTTGTGCGGGGCCGAGTGACCACACCCCTGACCGTCGGCTGCGCGGCGGCTAGTGCCGAGTCGTGCGGCCCGGCGCGGCCCGGTGCGGCCCGGTCCGGCGCCAGCGTCCGCCCTGCAGCTGGGCAGAGCCGCGCCGTCGGCACGCGCCGCCGCTGACCTCCTTCGCACGACACAAACAACGCCTTACAGACCCGGGTCACGGCAGCGGCAGCTGCGGAGTCGTGTGCCCCGATGGTTGAATGGCTGCTGTGAACACGTCCATCCCAAA